CAATTATTTGGTTTTCTTGGACTCTGATCTTTCCATAAACCATATAGAATATTGAACCCAAGATCGTAGCAGCAAGAGTCCCAAGGAAAAGGTAAAAATCCATTGCTTACGATAGAAAGAAATGAAAACTGAATATGATTAGCAAGAAGACGATGAACAACTTCTCTCCTCAAACTTTTAATTTCTTTTTTATATATAAAGAATTTCTCTAGATCCATCAATGCTTTTTTGACACTTGTCCCTTCTCGATCGTTTCAAGTGGAGTTAGTGGAGTGATGATGAGTAAAGGTTCTGAGTTTTTGTGGCCCAATATTTCTATTGACAAAAAAAATAAAGTTTATATCTCTTGACAAAAAAAAAAACTTTATAAAAAATTTTATTTCAAGAGATATAAAGTTATCGAAATGAACCGAGAGAAATAAAGTTTTTTATAAAGTTTTTTTTTTGTCAAGAGATATAAAGTTATCGTTTCATGGAAATATGTGAACCACTGTCGACCTAGCCACTATCATGTAGGTTCCACCGTTCTTGGAAGTTTTCCAAAATCCAAGTTATTGGATCTTTCCTATAATTTGAAACTGATTTTTTTTTTCTTGTTTTTCATCAACTTACATACTCTTGCAAAATAATCTTTTTGGATTCGTGTTGATTTCTTCAAAATTTGCTTCATAAATCTGTTTTCAGACAGAGTCCCCTGTTTTCACACATGCAGTTTCTAAGCAATAATTGTTAAAGACTCTCGTGGGGCAAGAGTCTTCGAACTCACATGCCAGTCACGTGATGCTAACGAAATACTATTTTAAAAGAAAAGCCCATTGATTTGTTTCGGCCCATATAATTAAGGCCCATATAATTAAGGCCCATATACTCTAAATCTCGCAGGGTTTAATCGTTTTTCTTTTTTCTACTAATCAGATTCATTGTTCATATCAAACGCCATTATCGCTCTGTAGAAAAAGCATCCATTTTTCGTACTAAGAAGATGAATTCTCTTCATCGTGTAGTAGGATTGATCACAAAAACAAAGACCCGTTATCCAATTTCGCAAACCCGTTTCAAATCCCCGAAGATCTCGAAATGACAACGATAAATGGAACGACGCTTGGGAATCAGCTTGGTTACCTGAAGATCTCACTGATAAGAGTCGAGCACCGTGGGAAACCGACGTGAACTTCTCTTCGACGGCTGAATCGACGCCGGCGATCGAGGAAATCGATGTGGAGGCAAAGGCGTTCGTTGAGGATATGAACGAGCATT